CCCGGCTGGGAGGCCTGGCAGATCCCGGCTGTGCCGGCCGGCCGGCCCGGTGGCCCACGAGCAGGGTACTGACCGCTGGGGTGGAGGCTCTGAGATTTCAGGAGTTGGCAGTCAGGCCACCATTTTCCTTTTCTTTTTAAAAACATGTTGTTATTGGTTTCAGAGCGGAAGGGAGAGGGAGAGAGAGACACATCCGTGATGAGAGGGAATCACAGACCGGCTGCCTGCTGCACGCCCCCCACTGGGGATGGAGCCCACAACCCGGGCCTGTGCCTTGACCGGGAATCGAACCCTGACCTTCCGGTTCACAGGTCGACGCTCAGCCCCTGAGCCACACGGCTGGGCCATTTTCTCCCTTTGGGATGGATCAGGCTCGGCCACGTGGAGGGGGCGGAGATCATGAACCCCACTGAGAGCCGTGCCCCACACTGACCAGCCTGAGCCAGGGCCCTTCCCGGGTGCGAGGAGGTGGCGGTCGCCCTGGCTCTGAGGGTCACGGTGCCAGCCCTTCACCTTTCTCCTCCGGCTCCCCAGCCCCCACGCCTCCCTCCCGGGCCTCCCCGACGCTGTGGGAACCGTGGCCCAGCCAGGCCTCCAGCCGAGGCGACGGCCGTGCGGACACGGGGTGGGGTGCGCTCAGCCCGCTGGGACAGCACCCGATTCATGGAAAAACCATCGAGAAGCGCCCGGGCCGGCACCGGGCTCTGCCTGAGGGAGTGACCGCATTTCCAAAGGGACTTGGCGAACGCCATCCGCGTCCCCACATGTAGGAGGCGACCGTAGGTGAGGCGAGTTGTGTTGTGACTGTGGACACCGGTCACTTACCCGCCCGGCCTGTTCCTTGTTAAAATTTTATTTATTATTAGTTTCTGTTGTTAACCCTTACCCAAGGACCTTTTTTCCACTGATTTTTAGAGAGTGGAAGAGAGGGAGAGAGGGAGGAAAGGAGAGAGAGAGAGAGGGGGAGAGAGAGAGAGAGAGAGGAGAGAGAGAGATAGGTTGCCTCCCAAAGGCACCCGACTGGGGCAGGGGTGGAACCTGCAGCCCAGGTGTGTGGCCTTGACCTGCCCCTGGCCGGGAACTGAACCTGAGACCCTTTGTATGAGCCACGCCAGCCGGGGCTGAGCCTGCTCCTTTCCGGTTCTCCCCGAAAGCGCGTTGGAAGGGCCTCCACCGGCCCCCCAGTCCAAGGGCCCCATGCCGGGAGGGCCTCGGACGCCCCAAGTCCAAGTCCTGGCTGAGCCGCTGCTTTCGCCCGTAAAGTGGAGCCGATGAGACCCGCCCTCCGTCTGTCCGGGGGCCTGGGAGGCTCAGTGGGAACGTGAGTCTCGAAATCCTCTGTAAAGTGGCGTGTGTTCCCGTCGGTCACCTAGCAAGTGTTTGCTGGGCACCTACTATGCGCGTCGGTCACCTAGCAAGTGTTTGCTGGGCACCTACTATGCGCGTCGGTCACCTAGCAAGTGTTTGCTGGGCACCTACTATGCGCGTCGGTCACTTAGCAAGTGTTTGCTGGGCACCTACTATGCGCGTCGGTCACCTAGCAAGTGTTTGCTGGGCACCTACTATGCGCGTCGGTCACCTAGCAAGTGTTTGCTGGGCACCTACTATGCGCGTGGCTCAGCAGGAGGTGGAGTGGGGAACAGAGCCTTCTGTCTCGCTGTCACGGCTGGCGGCCTTCACAAGGTTATCTCCTCGGATTCCCGCTTCCCTTCCCCTCCTCACCCCCCAAGAGCCAGGCACTGCTGGCCCTGGCTGCCTCGCTCGCTCCAGAGAGCAGCTCTCTGAGGCCTTTGTTCTCTCTGTGCCGCCAGCTTCCCCAAGAAGACCTGCTTCCTGGACCAGGACATGGAGCACGGCTTCACGGAGCTCTTCCGCTGCCTGCGTCTGCACGGCATCATCAGAGGTGAGCCTGCGGGGGTGGGTGCACTCTAACCACTGAGCCACACAGGGTGCAGGGCCGTGCTCTAACCACTGAGCCACCAGCCGAGCTTCTAAGGACATGGAGTGCGTCCGTGGGAGGCTGTTGGGGACCTGCCTGCCTGACGGTTCCAAAGGTGTCTGCTGAGATCCCTCATGGTCGCTCCTGAGCCGTGTGAGGTTTTGGGGAGTGGCTGCCTGGACTCAGTTTATCAGTCTGTACAATAGTCATAGCGGAGCTTCCAGGAAGCTTGGAGGCGGATGGAAGGGGCTGATGGACGTGGAGCACACGCTGCCAGGGCCACCGAAGCCTCCCCGAGCCCGGCCCCCTGGCGGCGGCCCCTTCGGGTGCCCGTGTCTGAGTTTGGGGGAAACTCTGGGGCGTGTGTGGTCCAGCCTGGAGCTCCCCAACCTCAGGCTGGGCCTGGGAGGCAGCTGGGCCTGGGACAGAGGAGGAGACACCACATGGGGGAGTGTGTGTGGGGCGGCCCAGCAGGCCACCCAACGAGATCTTTGTGTCTGAAAGGGCATTTGAGGACTTTTTCTTTCTTTTCTTAAATGCTTTTACTGATTTTGAGAGAGAGAGGAAGGGAGAGAGATAGACAGATAAAAACATCGATGAGAGAGAAACATCAATCGACTGCCTGCCCTACTGGGCATTGAGCCTGCAACCAGGGCATGTGCCCTGACCAGGAATCAGATGACCTCTTGGTTCCTGTGTTGACGCTCAACCATTGAGCCACACCGGCCGGCTGCTGAGGACGTTTTCAAAGCCACGTCTGGTTACCCAGATAGAACCCACGGCTCTCGAACCCGGGGCGGGAGACGGAGCCCGGGCAGCTTGGTCCAAGTTGCTCCGAGGTGCTCCGAAGGCACTATTGGATCTCAGCCCCCCCCTCGGGCGGGATGGGGGACGCTTTGGGGAGGGGCTCTGTAACGTCCCACGGGTCCCGCTCACCCTGTGAGTCCGGGCCTGGGGAGGGCCTCCGCTCTGACTTCTGCCCTTTTCTCTGTAGATGAGACGGTGACGACTCTCCATGAGCAAACCCATTAACACACTCCCTCTGCGTTCCCTCCAGGCCGGGACCTGGACGTGCTGAGGCACCTTAACTTCTTCCCGGAGTCCTGGCTGATCCGGGTCACTGCCAACCATTACCACGCGGTGAGTCGCCGCTCCGCCAGAGCGATTATCGGAATGGACTGCCTCCCTGCCTGCTTTCTCTGGAGGAGCATTTGCATTTGAAACCTCTGGGCCTTTGAGGTGGGGATATCTGGGCCTTGGCCAGGGAGCGTGGCACAGCCACACGGGAAGGGGCTGGGATTGGGGGGGAGGCAGGAGGCCCTGCAGCCCAGGTGCTTAGAGCATCCGTCCTGTTGACCAGGAGGGGTAGGTGGGGTCAAGGCACGCCAGCCACACCCAACAGGCACCACATCTCATTTTTTAAACATATTTTTTTTATTTACTTCAGGGAGGAAGGGAGAGAGACAGAGATAGAAACATCACTGATGAGAGGGAATCATGGATCGGCTGCCTCCGGCATACCCCACAGTAGGGAGCAAGCCCGCAACCCAGGCATGTGCCCTGACGGGGACTCAAACCCAGGACCCTTCAGTCCACAGGCCGACGCTCTATTCACTGCGCCAAACCAGCTAGAGCGTCAATGTCACGTTATTGAACATTTCATTATTTTTTTATATATATTTTATTGATTTTTTACAGAGAGGAAGGGAAAGGGATAGAGAGTTAGAAATATCGATGAGAGAGAAACATCGATCAGCTGCCTCCTGCACACCCCCTGCTGGGGATGTGCCTGCAACCAAGGTACATGCCCTCGACCGGAATCGAACCTGGGACCCTTCAGTCCGCAGGCCGACGCTCTACCCACTGAGCCAAACTGGTCAGGGCAAACATTTCATTATTGAAATGTTTCAAAATGCAGAGAAGTTGAAAGAAAACACATATCAAATATATACCCTCAGATCCCTCATCCACAGACAAGCACTGCTAACACCTCATTACATTTTATTGCCTTTCACCCTTTTTTAAAAATACGTTTTTATTGATTTCAGAGCAGAAGAGTGAGGGAGAGAGAGAGAAACATCAATGAGAGAGAATCATGGATTGGCCGCCTCCTGCACGCCCCACACTGGGGATCGAGTCCCCACCCCCAGCCTGGGCCCTGACCGGGAATCGAACCCTGACCTCCTGGTTCACAGGTGGACGCTCAGCCCCTGAGCCCCGCCAGCCAGCCGGGTCCCTGATGCCGTTTTCAATGGCTGCCAGCTCTTTCCCGAGGAGACCCTGGAGCCCGTGCTGCGCTCCCTCCCTTCGCCGTAGAAAGTGCGCGGTGTTTCTCATGATTCGTTGGCTGTTGACTGTGTGGTCGACATATTTACACACTGGTTTCTCCAACTGCCCCTGGAGTCGTTTTCTCACAGGAGATTCTCAAGAGAGGAAAACGCTGCCTTTTTGTTCTGAATTCACGTGAACAAGCGTGGGACCCAATGGCCCCCTCCCCACGGCGACAGAGGAGCGGCCTCCCTGGGCGCCGGGCGGCCGTGGACCAGCTCTTCTCGGTCCCTTCTGTTCCCTGAGGACGAACAGCGGCCTCTCTTCTTCGTGTGCATTTCCTGTCTTGTTGTGAATGGGAGCGGCTCTCCCGGCGGCATTTCCCACTTTGTGCGAGCGGCTGGGCTTCTGGTGTGTCTCCAGCCCCACATGTTTGGGGATGAAACGGAGCAGTGTTTGAGTTTTGACGCTGCCTGAGTTTCTCGTTAAAATGCAGTTCAGCTCAACAAATAGCCATTGTAACGTGCAAACCACAGCGCGCAGGCCCCGCCCCCTGGAGAGGACCCCATGGACGGAGCTGCTCTGAGACCTAGTTCAGGGCTGGACTCTGAGGAGCAGGGGCGAGGGAGGGAGGGGAGAGGAAGGGAGGGAGGGGAGAGGGGAGAGGAAGTCCCCAGGAAGTGCCCACCGCCCTCTTCAGTCACCTCCTTCCTTTCACTCCTGCCACCAGCGTCAACCTCTTGAAATCCTCTCCCCAAGCCCAGCCGGCAGGTGGAGGTGGTGGAGATAAAGGTGGGGGTGGGGAAGCCGTGGCGGTGACCATCCTCTGCCTCAGGATCAGGGCACTCGGGTCACGTGTTGTTTCCGGGGTGACCCCTCGGCCGTCTCTCACCCTTGTCTTTGCGTTCTCTGAAGGCTGTGAGCCGGTGCCTGGCACCGAGTAGGTTTTCAGTGAACACTGTGGTCCGGCCGGAGGGCTGAAGGCAGGACCCCGGACAGTGGGGCTGTGAGGACCGGGGAGCTCATGTGGAGCTGATGTCAGGGCCCGGCCGGCGGGGCTCAGCAGTTGAGCATCGACCTGTGAACCAGGAGGTCACGGTTCGATTCCTGCTCAGGGCGCAGGCCCGGGTTGTGGGCTTGATCCCCAGTGGGGGGCGTGCGGGAGGCAGCCGATCCATGATTCTCTCTCATTGATGTTTCTCTCTCTCCCTCTTCCTTCCTCTCTGAGATCAATAAACATACATATCTTCAAAAAGTGATCAGGCTGCCGGTAAACTGTTCTCTTTGCAGATGGAGTGTGGGGGCGACATGGCTTTCGCGAAAGACCTCACCCACCAGGCGGTGAGGTTCGGGCTGCTCTTCTATAAGGTACTGGCGCTGGGCCCGGGCAGGGACCCTGGCCTCCTGGGTGTGGATGGGGATGGTTGCAGGATCCCTCTGACCTCTGGTACGAAGCCTGGGGCAGAAGAGGAAGCTGGAGGGGCCTCTTCTGCACGCTCACCGCCCCCAGGAAATAAACTTCCCAAGACAGGGGCCTGGGACAGGCCCTTCAGCGACCCGATGGGCACGTCCAACATTTCCCCAAGGGTGGCCCGCTGTTCCAGTTCCCAGGAGTGGGGGCGTGTCCCTGGGATGCTGGGCTTTCTGTTCTAAAACTGGGCAAGGCCTGGGCAGACTGGGTTAGGGCTCACCCCCCCACACAGAGAGCCTCTGTTCCGTGAGAGAAACCGCTCCACGCCTGTGTTTAAGGTTGCGAGGGTGAACCTATTTTTTCTTTTTTAATATATTTTTTATTGACTTTTAGACAGAGAGGAAGAGAGAGATAGAAACGTCAATGAGAGAGAAGCACCATCCATTGGCTGCCTCCTGCACGCCCCCTACTGGGGATCGAGCTGGAAACCTGGGCATGTGCCCTGACCTCCTGGTTCATAGGTCAAGACTCAACCCCTGAGCCACGCCGGCCGGGCTGTCCCCTGGCCTGTGAACGGTGCGGATTTCCCTCGTCACGCCGTCGTTTCTGTCCCAACGTAGGAGTACACGACGTATTCGGAAATGATTGCCATCTACGGGTTCTACTTTTCCATGAAGGGCATCCGAAACAGCAGCACCTCCTACAGCTTCTACATGCAGGTGAGGGTGCGGGGACAGGGCGGGGCCCCTGAGACAGCCTCGGGGCCCAGGCCACCCACATCAATAACAGCCAAGCAGTCGTTACTTGCAGCTAGTGGAGTGTGCCGCCAGGCTGGTGCTAGTCCCACTCACAGACCTGATGCGTTTGATTGATTGCAACAATCGAGGGAGCTCACTATTGTGAGCTCACGGAACAGGTGCAGCCCTCAGGCTGAGTGCCTTCCTGGTCACGTGCCTCTATTGGCACAGCTGCGGGGGGAGTGGGACGAGGGGATTCTAGGCTCTGGCTCCATGTGTGGGGCTTAGTTCCTCTTCATTTCCTACTGGATGGGCGGTGGTTTGAGGTGGTCATTTGTCTGTGGAGGCAACAGGAAGTGCCTACAGGGGATCCAGCCCACAACCTGGGCCTGTGGCCTGACTGGGAATCAAACCGTGACCTCCTGGTTCAGGAAGTGACATCAACCACTGAGCCACATGGGTGTTTACGTTCTAGCAAAGCGCCATGAAGACCTTCCAGGTCAAGGAGCTGGGTTAGTCCGGGTTGGCTGAACCCTGGTCCATCAGCCAGCGGTTGGCACATGGTCAGGGCTCAGACGGCAGCTGACTCTGCAGCAGGCGCCCAGGAAGTGGGATTCTGGGAGACGCCTGCCTGGTCTGCGCACTTCGCAGGAGGCCGAGGGGCCAGGGGCCAGGGGCCAGGGGTCGCCGGCGGGAGGCCCCCCCTGAGGCGGCGGCTCTCCTCCAGAGAATCAGGCCGGCGGACGTGGGGTTCCCCTCCGAGGTCTGCGAGCACGGCCTGGTCAGCCTGCAGCCCCAGCGCCTGGTCAGGTACGAGATCAGGGCGCATGCATGGGTGGACGGCCAGTGGCAGGATTTCAGGACCAAGCCCGTCATGCAGAAGTTCCAGTTCGTCAGGCCGACATGCAAGAGCCAAGTGAGTGGTCGTTTCTCCTTTCTCTCTCTCTCTCTCTCATCAGTTCTATGAAGGTACAAATCACTAATGGTGTTGTTGCTTTTTTAATATATTTGTATTGATTTCAGAGAGGAAGAGAGAGAGTAACATCCATGATGAGAGAGACTCATGGATCGGCTGCCTCCTGCACACCCCACACTGAGTATCGAACCCGCAACCCGGGCCTGTGCCCTGACCAGGAATCGAACCCTGACCTCCTGGTTCATGGGTCGATGCTCCACCCCTGAACCACGCCGGCTGGGCATATACTGAAACATTTTAAGCGTATGTTAAAGGCCTTTGCCAGGTGACCCAAATGAGCAGCCAGAGTTGAGAGCGAAGGGCCTCCCTGCTGCGGGGCCCCGAGCTCCTGTTCCAGCCCCACTGCCTTTGCGTTGCTTCATCTTGTAGGTCTTGCAAATCCAGACTGTGGGCAGTCCCATCTACGTCAGCTTCTCATTCATCTTCCCAGCGTCTTGACAGCTTCCAGAAGAATCTACGGAGTGTTTTCTCTCCCACCGCTCTGCATAAAGGAGAATAAAGTGATGTTGAAGGGACTCCCCAGGTGTCGGCTGGCTTTCCCGGGAGCCATGGTCTCGGTGGAGCTGGCGCCATCGTCTCCGTCTGCTCTTGGCTGAGCTGCGGGCGGCGTGTGACCGTGTAAACAGCAGGCATGTGTTACTTCCCGGCCTGGGGTCTGGAAGTCCCAGGTCAGATGCTGGCAGACGCGGCGTGGTGTCTGGGGGTCCCCCTCCGGCTCATGCACGGCCAGCTCCTCCCTGGTCCTCATGGGGCCGACCGGGCAGGGTGGTGTGCCGAGGCCCCTTTATAAGGGCGCTCACCCCGTTTGTGAGGGCTCCACCGTGTGAGCTAGCACCTCCCAAAGGCCCGTCCCTGCTGCCATCACTTTCGGGGTTAGGTTTCACCATGTGGGTTCTGGGGACACGTTCAGACCATAGCGCCCACCTTTGTGTTGTCTGCGGGTGGAAAGCAGGGGAGACGTGAGTCCATTTGCCATCACTGACCCCCTAAGGCCCCTGGGGCCCAGTCTGACTTTGCATTCTTGGGGCTCTTTGATGGGATCCCCGGCAGAAACACCCCCTCCCGCTGGGGATGCCACCACCCTGGCTGTGGCCCCCGACAGTGTGGGCCCGGCAGGAGCCAGAGGCAGGAAGGGAAGGAAGCAGCTATGACGCACAGAGTGACCGACTTGCTGACCACTCCGCCACTTTATTTTTTAATTTGTTTTTAAATATATTTAATTGATTCCAGAGAGGAAGGGAGAGAGAAACATCAATGATGAGGGAGAATCATGGACCGGCTGCCTCCTGCACGCCCCACACTGGGGATCAAGCCCACGATCCGGGCCTGTGCCCTGACCGGGAATCGAACCCTCACCTCCTGGTCCCTAGGCTGACGCTCAGCCAATGAGCCCGCCGGCCAGGCCGTTCTGCGCTTTAAAAGGAACCCCGGGGCTCGGGAGCGGGAAGGTAAGAGAGCCTTTCTTCCCCCACTTTGCCGACCGGTCCCTGTTGCCGCTGTTTAGTGGCTGAAGCGCCGTGTTTGTTATCACATCCTGGGTGTGGTCAGGAGTCCGGCAGCTCGCAGGGACCAGCTCCCGGTCTCGCCAGCCACAGCCGGGGCAGAGGGCCGTGTTCTCACCTGAAAACAGGGCAGGGAGGCCGCGTGCAGCGGGTGAGCTGCGGCAGGTTCCTCTCTGCAGCTGCGTGGCTGTGTCTGAGGACCCCGGCTGCTGACCGGTGTGGGGTCGGGGGTAAGGGCCTGAGGACGGGGCTGCCTCCCCTGCCACCAGTTCCTCAGCGGGGTCCCCCCCCCCAACCCCTCACACTGGATTGTCTTCCTCACCCAGGACAAAAATAATAAGAATAGCCACAATCCAAGCACAAGCCTGCGGTCTCTCACCCTCCTGTCGGGGCGCCACCGGCTGGAATCCAGAGGTGCCAGCCTTCTCCACTAGGGGGCGAGCCCCGTCCAGAACGGGAACCAGCCCTGAGTGGCAGGAATTCGCCAGGAAGGAGCCCCCCTTGCGCGGGGGTGAGAGGGAACTTTTGCACATTCCGGGCGAGGCTGAGTCACCCCGACGTCCACGGTGTTGATGTCACAGAAGTCTCTGAACTTGGGAGGCACAAGTTCGGAGACAAACATTCTTGCGCTGACCTGACACACCCTGCTTACGAGTGGAGCTGCCTGAGACGGGAATTTAAAGCCCACGGCCGTTCCCAAAGTAGCCACCCAGTGCGGTCGGCTCAGCACCTCACGTGCCACACACACGTCTGCCAGGACTGCGGGGTGCAGGCCACCCCCACCCCGGGGCAGGGGGAGGCCACGCTGGGGTAACCAGGGGAGCGAACTCAGTTCTGCACCAGGTACCACTGTCACCCCTCCCACCGGCACTGCTGGTTACTTATTTATTATTATTATTTTAATATATATTTTATTGATTTCTTACAGAGAGCTATTATTATTATTATTATTTGGTTAATCCTCACCTGAGAATATTTTTTCCATTGCTTTCCAGAGAGAGTGGAAGGGAGTGGGGGGGAGAGAGAAACATTGATGTGAGACAGTTAATCAACCGCTTGCCGCCTGCAGGCACCCCGACCAGCGTCAGGGAGCAAACCTGAAACCCAGGTACATGCCCTTGACCTGGAATCGAACCAGACAGGGTGCAAACGGGAGGCAACCAATCAATGTGTCTCTCACATCGATGCTTCTCTCTCCCTCTCCCTCTCCCCGCTCCTCCTTCCCCTCCATTCTCTCTTAAAAAAATCAATGGCCTTAGCCAGTTCTGCTCAGTGGATAGAGCGTCGGCCTGCGGACTGAAGGGTTCCAGGTTCGATTCCGATCGGGGGCATGTACCTTGGTTGCGGGCACATCCCCAGTAGGGGGTGTGCAGGAAGCAGCTGGTCGATGTTTCTCTCTCATCGATGTTTCTGACTCTCTATCCCTCTCCCTTCCTCTCTGTAAAAAAATCAATAAAATATATTTTTAAAAAAATAAGTAAATAAAATCAATGGGGAAATCCCCCCAGGAGAAGGTTTTAAAAAGCAGCAGCAGCGTTGTCTGTGATCCGGGGGCGAAGAGGGGCTTGCACAGGAGTGACGGGCGGAGAGGGTGCCAAACAGCCCGACCGGGAGTGACGGCAAGCCGGCCGCTCTGTCTGAAGGGAAGGGCCACCCTTGACCGCCCCCACGAAGGGCCATGCGGCCAGGCCCCGCTCCCACCTGGGGGACGGCTGCGGCCTCCTGGGACGGAGAGCGCCTCTGCGGCCACACTGTGTGCATCCTTCCAGAAGTGGCTGCACCAGTTGGTTTAAAAACAAACATTCCCGGCCTGGCCAGTGTGGCTCAGTGACTGAACATGGACCCAAGAACCATGGGTCCCGGTTGGATTCCTGGTCAGGGCACAGGCCTGGGTTGTGGGCTCCATCCCCAGTGTGGGGCGTGCAGGAGGCGGCCGATCCATGATTCTCACCACTGATGTTTTTTCTCTCTTTCTTTCCCTGAAATCAATAAAAATACATTTTAAAAACAATTTATTTAAGTTAACAAAAGCCCCTTCAGCGTCCCCTCTCATTTCCCCAGGGCAGAGCCTGTACCCTGTGCCTGGCTGAAAGGCACCTGCCCCGTCCCTCTGCCTGCGCCCCCACCCCCCTCGCCCACGGGGAGCCCACGGCCCACAGGTGTGGGGCTGCTCGGATGTGCCGGCTTCTCCCAGCCGTGAGTCAGGCGCAGCTTTTGTTGTGAGGAGCCGCATGGGCAGGCCCGCCACTCCCTGGCTGGCCTCCCACGTCCAAAGCAAACAGGCAGGGGGTGGCGTGGGGGCACCAGAGGGAGGAGGGCACTTCAGGGCAGCAGGAGGGCTTCCAGAGGGAGGCCTGCTTGTTGGGAAGTGAAGACGGGGAGTCCAGGCGTGAGGTGGGGCGGGCAGAGGGCACACGCCTCTGCCGACGGGCGGTGGACACCATCTGACAGCACCTACTATGCGCTGGGCCCCGTCCTCACCACCTGTGGGCAGCGGAGGGATCATCCCGCCAACGAGGAAACTGAAGCTCCCCGCACTGGAGTGGGGGGCTCACCGGTGCCAGGGGGGAGGGGGCTGGGGCTCAGGCCTGTCCGGCACCAGTAACCACCCCTCAAAACAGCGTCCTGGGCCAGGGCCGAGGTCACTGAGAGGCGACCATTTCGATCTTTGCACAAGCAGATGTCCTAGACCGGGGCGGGTGCCTTCTTCCTGCCAAAGGCCATGTGGATATTTATAGCACCGCCTGCAGGCCGTCCAGAATCATCACCTTCAAAGGCAGCTGCTGGGTCTGGTCACCATCTCACTCCCTCACCCCTCCTGCTTGGCACGGCCAACCCCGCGATTCTCATGCACCTGACGTGGCCCTCGGCCAGACGTCCCCCACCCCTGCCGTGTAAACCATGCCGACGGTCCTACAACAAAAGCACGAACTGGAGAAAGGCTGTGGGCCAGAGACGGGCTTTCGGAGCGCTGCTGCCGGGGGCGGGGCGGGGGGCAGGTGGGTGTGGAACCGCATGGATGGCCTGGTCACCGGCCTATGTGAGGACAAGAGAAATGGGAGAAATGCAAGGACTGCCGCCAGCCCCCGCTGAGCTGGGGGCCGAGGAGGCAACAAGAGAAAAGGACGGGGAAGCACCCCAAGGGTCCCCCAACAGAAGAGAGAAACGGTGCCTTGCTCATGAAAGGAAAGCCTGCACAGGACAGCCAGGACAGACTGTCCCCGCACGGTGACAGACACGCCTCACGGACGGGGGCTGGACAGAAGTTCAATCCAAGGCCAGCCTGACCTCGGCTGCAGCCACGTTGATGGGAGGTTCAAGGACGGGCAAAACTAACCAAGGGCGGGCGAGTCTGAACAGCGACTCGGTGGCTACAGGGAGCTTTTTGGGGTGTTAGAGGTGCGTCCGGAGCTGGTGGTGGTCACACTGTTAGAGAAAAACCGGGGAAGAACCCAGCAACGCTGAGAGAGAGGGAGTTACATGTCCCACGCGCAGGCCCAGAGGAAATGTGTCTCAAATTCCGGGTGGTGTCACACACGAAGTTTCTCATATTTACACGATTTTACCCTCTTTGTCTCCCCAATATGGGGTTTTCCCGGTCCCCTGTGCAAGCTCTTAAAGGGCCCTATGTGCTGGGGCTTTGAGACCTCGACCAAGGGCTTGGCCTGACGCCGGCACTGATAACGTCGTCCGGGGAAGGTTTAAGGGCCTCTCTGAAGTGGGAGCTGTCGTATTTTCCTTATTATTTAAGCCAGCAACCATCCACAGAAGGCAGAGGCAGAGGGTTAACATTTCAAACAGCAGTTTCTATAATAGACGATGCTTCACCACCTTATTAGGCTCCATATTTAGGAGTTGCAGGCTTGAACATCAGGGGTTGAACATCAACGTATGAACCAGGAGGTCACAGTTCGATTCCTGGTCAGGGCACATGCCTAGTTTGCAGGCTCGCGATCCCCAGGGTTTCTCTCATCATTGATGTTTCTCTCTCTCCCTCCCTCTCCTTTCCTCTC